TGTCCTTCTGTCTAAAATGAGTCTCTTGTAGACAGCAAATAGATGGGTCCTGTTTTTTTTATCCAGTCTGAAACTCTGCGCCTTTTGATGGGGTCATTAAGCCCATTCATGTTCAGAGTTACTTGAACTTCTTCTTAAAGGGGAGTTTTAAGAGTCCCCCTTAAAATTTCTTGCAGAGCTGGTTTGGAGGTCACATATTCTTTCAGTTCCTGCCTGTCTTGGAAGCTCTTTATCTCTCCTTCCATTTTGAATGAGAGCCTTGCTGGATAAAGTATTCTTGGTTGCATGTTCTTCTCATTTAGGACCCTGAATATATCCTGCCAGCCCTTTCTGGCCTGCCAGGTCTCTGTGGAGAGGTCTGCTGTTACCCTAATATTCCTCCCCATGAAAGTCAGGGACTTCTTGTCTCTTGCTGCTTTAAGGATCTTCTCTTTATCTTTGGAATTTGCAAGCTTCACTATTAGATGTCGAGGTATTGAACGGTTTTTATTGATTTTAGGGGGGGATCTCTCTATTTCCTGGATCTGAATGCCTGTTTCCCTTCCCAGATTGGGAAAGTTTTCAGCTAGGATTTGTTCAAATACATATTCTGGCCCTCTGTCCCTTTCGGCGCCCTCGGGAACCCCAATTAAACGTAGGTTTTTCTTCCTTAGAGTGTCATTTATTTGCCTTAATCTGTCTTCATGGTTCTTTAATTGTTTATCTCTTTTTTCCTCAGTTTCCCTCTTTGCCATTAACTTGTCTTCTATGTCACTCACTCGTTCTTCCACCTCGTTAACCCTCGTCGTTAGGACTTCTAGTTTGGATTGCATCTCATTCAATTGATTTTTAATTTCTGCCTGATTGGATCTAAATTCTGCAGTCATGAAGTCTCGTGAGGCCTTAATGCTTTTTTCTAGAGCCACCAGTAGCTGTAGAATAGTGCTTCTGAATTGGCTTTCTGACATTGAAGTGTAATCCAGATTTTGTAACTCTGTGGGAGAGAGGGCTGTTTCTGATTCTTTCTTTTGAAGTGAGGTTTTCCTTCTAGTCATTTTGCTCAGTGCAGAGTGGCCAAAAACAAGTTGTATTGGAACACGGGGGAGTATCACTGGTCCGTCTAGCTGGTCTTCTGGGGGAGGGGCCTGTTGCGCTGATTCTCAGGTGTTAGCACTTGGGGGAGCTGCTCTGCCCCTGCCTGCTGCAGGGCTCAGCGGGGGTTGTTTACCCCGTGAGGTCTCAGGAGGAACAGTTGCAGTTGCTATGGCAACTCTGGAAGCCTGGATTCAGCCTCCGCAGGAACTACGGGGCTCGGGGGCTCTCGGCTCTCCGTCCGCAGGGCCTGGAGGCTCCGGGGCGGGGCCGCTGATCTGCTCAGCTCGGGGCAGGAGCGTCCTCGCTGTCCTGGGCCCTCCCGGCCTCTGCCTGTCCCGGGGGTAGGCCGGATCCTGGGCTGTGTCCCGGCGCCCTGTGCTCCGGGGCCTGTGTTGTTGGATTTGCGCTCCCGCCCCGCAGCTCCCTCCCTGGAGCCGCTCCCGAGCCCCTCCGAACTGCTCCGGTGCGTGCTGCAGCCCTTAGGGAGCTCGGAGCACTCTCCTGCGCTCGCAGGTGTCTGTTAGTGTCCCCGGGAGCCCGAGGGCATCCCCGCTCTCCTGGGTCCTGCTCTAACTCCCTGTGAGCCCCTTTCCGCCCGCCCGGGAAGGTTGGTGCAGCTCCTGCTCCTCCGGGACGGGGCTCTCCTGTCCTGGGGACACTCGCCCCGGCCTCAGCCCGGCTCCTCGCGGGGCCCCTCCCCCTCGGAGGCCTTTTGTTCCTTTATTTCTTTTTCCCCCCCGTCTTCCTACCTTGATAGAAGCGCGGACTTTTCTCACTGTAGCATTCCAGCTGGTCTCTCTTTACATCTCAGGCCGAATTCGTAAATTTTCAGGATGGTTTGAAGGTTATCTAGGTAATTTGGTGGGGACAGGTGATTTGGGGACCCTGCTCTTCCGCCATCTTGCCCCTCCCCTAGATAGAGTATTCTTGATTGCAGTTTTTTTTTTTTAATTTCCTTTCAGCATGTTGAATATATCATGCCACTTTTTTCTTTCCTGTAAAGTTTCTGCTGAAAAATCTGCTGATAGCCTTATGGGGTTTCCCTAGTATGTTTTCTTTTCTCCTGAAACTTTTAGAACTGTAGTTTGCCATTTAACTACTATGTGTCTTGGAGTGAACTTCCTTGATTGATTTTATTAGGGGTTTTCTGTGCCTCCTGGATTTGGGTTCCTTCCCCAGATTTGGGAAGTTTATAGTTATTATTTCTTCAAACAAATTTACTCCCCCCTTTTCTGTGTCTTTTTTTTTTTTTCTGGGATTCCTATAATGTGTTTCTCTGGTTGGTTCTTTTTTATGTTTTCTGTTTTCTGTGTCTTTTTTGGTGGCGTCTTTGAAGTCTCCCACCCTTTCCTGAATTCCAGTGAGTATTCTTATGACCAATACTTTAAATTCTCCATCAGTTTCATTTAGGTCTCTTGCTATGATTTTTGTCCTCTTCTTTCATTTGGAACTTACTCCTCTGTCTCCTGATTGTGTCTAATTCTCTGTGTCAGTTTCTCTGTTATGAAAGTCAGCTGTGTCTCCTATACATGAAAGTATTGGGCTTTCGAAAAAAGGTTCTGTGGTGCCCTGCAGCGCAGTGTCCCCTGTTCACCAGAACCTGGGGTTGAGGGGTATCTCCTGTGTGTGACATGTGAGCCCTATTGTTGTGGCTAAGCCACTTTTGCCTTCAGCCTCCTCATCTGCAATGGCTTTCTCTGCCTGTTGTAGGCAGGATTTGGTTCCAGTTTTATTAGTGAGCCAGTCTTCGTTTCTCCGGGTTTGAGTTGAGTCATACCAGGCATTTGCCATAGAGGCAGTAGCACAGAGCTGTTGAGTGCTCTCCCTGTGTTTTGCCTCAACAAGCTTTCATTGGTAGTTGAGTCCTGCAGCCGGACTAGATGTCTGCCCCCCAGCCCACAGCCAGGGCTATAGTTGGACTGCTGTGTGTGTGTGTTTATCTTTCCTTCTCTCCAAGTTAGTGGTCACTTTGGAGTGGTACTGGTTCCTGTCAGGGCTGCTTGAACACTGCCCAGCTTATGGCGTCACTTTGAATCACTCTCCTGCCAAGAGCATATTGGAAGGGACAGGTACATAGGAGAATGCAGGGTGGAGTACAGTGCCAGCAAGAGCCACTTCAGTTCACTGGACTGGGACCAAGGCAAACCAAGTTTTAGGGCACAGGTTTGCGGAAGCATGGGGGCAGAGTAAGAGGTATTAATTAATAAGTTATGTGGAGAGTGTTGAGGTCATGCTGGTTCCAGTGTCTAAGCTGAGGGTGAGAGGAGGGAAATGGCATCCACCACTTCCTTTGTTCTTGGAGAAGTCTGTCATTGATTCCTGCCCCTCTGGTTCATCTCCAGCACACAATCTGAAATGAGTAAACACATCTCCCTCTCATATACACCAGCTGTTTCAAACTAGTGCTTCTGTTGCTATATCTTCACAGTGCTGTTTGTTGTGCTCTTCAAGGATTTGGACTCCACTCTCCCAGTTCTCCCATAGAGCCTTCTAATTTTTAATGTTCCAAGTGTTAAAGACCTGCTAATTTGATTGTAAGAACTTGTGAAATTCAGCCTCTCTGGACTCCAAAGCCAGATATTATGGTCATCCACCTTCCTGTGCCTAGGGTGGGTGTCTGTTTCTTTCTCCTGCCCATGCTCAGCATCCTTCCCTCCTGTAGACAGTCTCATAGAGAGTCCAGTGGGTCTGTTTGGCTCCTCACCACCCTTGGTCCTTTATACCCTATTGTGGCCTCTTCTGTATATTTAGCTGTGCAGAGTCTAGTCTACCAATATTTGGAGTCATTTTCTGGGTTATTTACACTGATGTGTATGTTACCTATTTGTATCAACAGGACAAGGTGAGCTTAGGATCCTCCTCCTTTGCCACCTTCTGTATATAATTCCTATACATTTATTTTATTTTTAAAATATTTACTTATTCACTTGATAGAACACATGCCCATGAGCAGGGAGAGGGGCAGAGGGAGAGAGAGAATCTCAAGCACACTCCCTGCTGAGCATGGAGTGCAAAGTGGGGTTTGACCCCATGACTCTGAGATTGTGACCTGAGCTGAAACTAACAGTTGGACACTCAATGAACAAAGCCACCCAGGCACCTCTGTACTGGAAAATTTTAAAATACATATATTTCTATGGGTTGCACTGATCTAGATCATGATCATTTAAGAACAGTGTCACAATCAGTTAACTTTTTAAGAAAGGAAAGATAAAGTCATGTCAGAGGGTTCCCAGCAAATTACTATGTCATTCTTATGGCATCATCTTTCCTTCCTTATTAATAATTTGTATATTTGATTTAGTTTTCATATAGGACCATAAATATCTTTTTACTTATTTTTATATTCCTTGAAGGTTCTCATACTCTTAATATAGAGTAACCCCTGAACAACACAGAGTTGAACTGTTGGGTCCACTTATAATCCAGCTTTTTTCAATACAGTATAGTACTGTAACATATTTTTTCAGTATGATTTTCTCAATATTATTTTCTCTTTATTATAAGAATACAGTATATAATACATATAACATAGAAAATATGTGTTAATCGACTGCTTATGTTATTGGTTAAGGCCTTTAGTTGACCACAGGCTATTAGTAGTTTTGGGGGGAGTCTGAAGTTACACATGGACTTTTGACTATGCAGTTGTCAGCACTCCTCATCCCCATGTTGTTCAGTGTCAACTGTATATGTTTTACATTAAATTGAAATAATCGGTAAGCTTGCTATTTTAATTTGGTCTTAAATGATTAATGAATAGCTTATCTGTTGTCATATTTTCATATTTTTTAATAATTAAGTAAGATTACATAGAGACCTTTAGAATCTTAATTTGATCTATTATTGTATCAAAAATATTGTTTTCCTTCCAGTATATAGTTGACATCTGTAGACATATACTGAATCAGATATATTTGTTTTAGGATATAAAGATAAAGAATGTAGACTCTTGGAAAAGTTTAGGCAAACCAGTCAAAACATCAGGTGTACTGAAATCCTCAGATGAGCTCTTCAACCAATTTAGAAAAGCAGCAATAGAAAAAGAAGTAAAAGCTCGAACACAGGAACTAATACGGAAACATATGGAACAGAATACAAAGGAACCAAAAAGAGTTCAAGAAAATCAGAGGTCAGTAATTTACTGGATTAAGGGAGCCTAGGAGATATGGACTTTTTTTCATTTATCAGTTTCTTTTTGTTCAAGTATTCATTCATGTCTGCATGCATTGACTATGTATAGCAATCTCCATTCCCAATGGTGGACATGTAATTTTAAATATATTTCTTTTTTGTCAAGTGACCATGATTTAGCTATTTAGTAGAATACAAAGTGAATTTTAATTGTAAAAAGTAAATTTTATTGATATTTTTAATTGACAAGTAGTATCTACTTTGAAGAGGATAGAAATTATCAAGTGATTAAGCTATTAAAGATACTAATATAACTAAATCATAAAGACATCATTATTTTCCAGAAATGTCTTGTTTCCATTCTATGTGTAAGAACATAGCAATATACTTGCTTAGTTTCCATAACCTTCTCTTTGTTAATATAGATTGCCTTTGCAAAATTTGACATCAAAAGTCAAACTTAAAAATGATATCATAACATATGAAAGAAGGGATCTAAAACATTGCTTTATGTTTATAATTGAATTAACATATCTTTGTAATAAAAACTTTTAAGGAATTTGAGACCTACTTTGAGCTATATTGTTTCTTTAAGGGACCTTGGCTTCACTCAAGAATCTTTTTCAAACAAAATGCAAAATCAGTACCTTGGAGAACAGAAAGACCATCAGCAGTCTTCAGAAGCTCAAGATAAATACAAACTCTGGCTTCTCAAAGACCGTAATTTAGCAAGGGAGAAAGAGCAAGAGCGGAGGAGGAGAGAAGCAGTAAGTAAATTTTACTTTACTAAATCTAACTAAGGAAAGATTTAACAAAGCAGTGGCTTTTACAGGTTCAAAGATATATTCAGGGTGATTTTCAGTGACAGTGAATTTACATTGTTGGTACATTTACCTATCACTCTGGGCTGTTAACTAATTACAAATTAAAAACAAATAAATCCTTTTTTTTTTAAAGATTTATTTATTTATTTTAGAGATAGAGTGGGGGGCAGAGCAGGGGGAAGAGGGGGGATTCCAAGCCAACTCCATCCACCCTTACCTCACCAACTCCACCCTTACCTCAGAGCCCAAAGTGGGGCTTGATCTCATCCCTGAGCTGAAAAAAAAAATTCATAGTTGGGGGGCACCTGGGTGGCTCAGCGGTTGAGCGTCTGCCTTTGGCTCAGGTCCTGATCCTGGGATCCTGAGATCGTGTCCCACGTCAGGCTCCCTGCATGGAGCCTGCTTTTCCCTCTGCCTGTGTCTCTGCGTCTCTCATAAATAAATAAATAAAATCTTTAAAAAAAAAATAAATAGATTTAAAAAAATTTCATAATTGGTGTCAGTTTGGATGTCATCAACATGAACATTTAGAGAAGGCTTCAGAGTATAGGAAACATTTATTTCCTTTGTCTTATTTATTAGATTTTATTTATTTGAAAGAGAGCACAAGTGGGGTGGGGGTGGGCAAAACAGAGGGAGAGAGAGAAGCAAACTCCCTGCTGAATAGGGTGCCCCATGGGAGGCTCCATCCCAGGACCCTGAAATCATGACCTGAGCCATACGTAGAGGCTTAATTGACTGAACCACCCCTGCATCCCTATTTCTTTTGATTTAATTAGAATTCTGTTTACTTTAGCTTATTTTTAATGGCTTCTTAGCATTTAATGAACATACTGAGTGTTATACATGCGATTTGGTTTAATTTTCATAAATACCTATATATAAAATAAACTTGGTTAAATAATTTGCCCTAGGTTACACAGTAAGTGGCAGAGTCAAGAAAAGCCTGTAGCTTTATTGCTATGCATTTTAGTTTCCTCAAATAGTTAAAGATACTGGTTCATTCAGAAAATAATTTTATGTGTCTAGCACTATTTTGATTATAGAGATAAATGAAACAATATACTCAGTTCATGTCCTTGTTAATAGTCTGTCAACACTGATAATTTTCTCTTATTTGGAGAAGTTTAATTTAGTGTTTGTGTAAGCTTTAAGTTTTATTTATCACATGAACAATAATTTAACAAAAATCAGTATTTGAACAGAAATAGAAAATTAGACTCATTACGTTAAATAAATTGTGTACATTTTGTAGATTCTGTTCTAAATGTTTGATCATTTTTATATATATCTAATGAAGGCATAGATATTTTTAAAGTAACATTGAATTTTTTTTCCTTGTTTCTACAGATGGCTGGTACCATTGATATGACTCTTCAAAGTGACATTATGACAATGTTTGAAAACAACTTTGATTAAAACATTAAATTAACCATCAACTTAAACTGAATGATATAAAATATTAAAATGTATATGGTAAAATGATTGCTTTAAAACACCACGATACCAATCTTATATTGTATTTGCTCTAAAATGATTAAACAATTTTCACATATATTTTTAATAGCTATATGTTCATTTTCTAAATGATATAATTTACAGGAAATTTTATAATTTTGGACCCTAAAAATTGAATAAATTCCCAGATGTTAATTTATAAATAATTGTCTGCTATGTATTATAGTCCCTGTCTAAGCAGTGAAAATCCAAAAGAGACCCTTCTTGTTCAAAAATGAAAAATACATAAAAATGTATCAAAAACAGCTCCTGTTGAGTTTTTAACTTTTAAAACAAATATCTATCTGCCCTAAAATATTTTGAACTTCTAACAAATAATACTTGGTTTCTTTGACTGTCAGGTTATATAATATTCTCTGCTGATTCTGTATGCAAAATTTATATTGAAATTTAGTTTAAAGAATATTATGTATGGTTTGGATGATGTTAAATTTGAGCAAAATAATAGTAAATATTATGATGTAAGTTTCTATAGGAACTTATACAATTCTTATATGCATATGTGATAGTAATGAATGTTTTACATTTTTACTTAACTATGTAGTCTTTAAATCTGTAAATTATTTTTGTTTCATCATTCTCAAGTTGCAATTATGTATAAATCATGTGTATCCACTTCATATATTTTAGCATTTTGGACTCTTGAAGTGTAACATGACTCAGGTCCTATTATGATACCATCTAAAGTGAAAACTCAGCGTGTGTTTGTATGTGTATGTTTTAGAGCAAAAGAGAAAGTTTTCTTGACTTCATTTGTTTTTATACTCAATATAATTTTTTGAACTATCTAAATTACAGTCATTTAAAAAATATGATCAACTAGTGGCTAAATGATGGTGACACTTTCATGAAACATAGCTAGAATCAAAGTAGCTGTCATACTCATTAACTACAACTATTTTTAACCAAGTGATTAGCGTGTATATACTAAATAGTATGCATTGTTATTTTCCTAAAAGATTATCTACAGATTAGATAGATCTCTATGTATTCTAGAATATATGTATTTTTAGGAAGATATATCAGGTGTACATAGTGATTAGCTCTAGGTGATGGAATTACAGGTGTTTTTTTCCTTCTCATTCTTTTTAATATTATGTAATACTTTTAAGATCTGTGGGAAATTTTCTATTTTGAAGAGAGAATGAAAATAGTAAGGATTTCTATCAAGTACACATTAAATCTTTCAACAGCTGCCTTTAAACAACTAATAAAACTGATGAATCAGTGAGATTTGGCTACATCTAAAAAAAGTTCAGTTTTGTTAACATCATTTTATATTAAAGAATAATGGCTTACTTGGAGGTTTTCCTATTAACATTTGGAAGAGTCCTGATAGAGCTGTGTTATGGTTGTCAGTGTTTTGTTTAACCAGCTTAACACTTTTAGCCTTTGTTCAGTCAACAAACTTTTTAGTAGGTTGGTTGAAGTCAGCTTAGCAATCAAAATAATCAGTTTATAACTGATCCTTCCTATATTATGCTTTATTTTTTAGTAAAAGATTTTTGTCTTTCTTGACTTAGGTGGAGTTTACTTCTGTTAGTTTTATGCATGAAATACTGCATGTAACTTGTCTTTAACTGAACTCTTGTTTTGTGAGGACCCCTTTTCTGTCCATCTGTCACTACTTTCCAGTTTCTAAAACTTGTTCATTTTGTTTTCTGGGATTCATGATTGTTCGTCCAAAACATTCCCTACATGATCAAACTTTTTGTTTGTTTTTTCCCATTTTTTGTTCTTGAGTTCTGGAAGTGTGGTCCATGGACCAGCTACATCAGCATCACCTGAGAATGTTTTAGAAATGCAAATTCTCAGACTTCAGAATTACTGGATCAGAAACACTGGGTGTAGGGTTCAGCAACCTTTAGCTGAACACTCCCTCCAGATGATTGTAATACACACTACAGTTTGAGAACCACTGCTCTAACAACCTGGGCACTATGCTGCAGGCTCTCATTTAGTGCCTGTTTCTTTTCTTCACTTATATTTTTCTTACCTTTGGGGTGCCACTTGAAGACCACCATGACCACCCCCACCACCCCTGCCGCCTTCCCTTTTTCATGATCACCAGACTGTACCACCCATAGTCATTTACCATCCCTGTTTCACACCGTCTTGTTCCCCAGAGATTTTAGTCTCTATTTCTCTCTAAATTGACACTTCTCAGTCCCTGAACTCAGCTAATTATCTTAATAACTAATCAATTTTAACCATTCCTTTATCATTGTCAATAACTAAAATCTTTCCTTAGTCTCAGTTTCAAGCAAGTTAGTCTCTTACTACTTTCTCATATCTTCTTCTAGTTTATTCTAGATAGGCCCTTGACTCCAACAATCATTAGGCTTCACCATGACCTTACAACTCATTAATCCTGGTGCTTTTCATAGTACCTCTCCCCTTCATGCCCCTTTTTAAAAAATTTTTATTTATTTATTCACAAGAGACACAGAGTGGGAGACAGAGACATAGAGAGAGAAGCGGGCTCCATGCAGGAAGCCCGATGTGGGACTCGATCCTGGGGCTCCAGGATCATGGCCCGAGCCAAAGGTAGATGCTCAACTGCTGAGCCATCCCGGCATCCCCATGCCCTTACTTCTTATGCAAGTTTGTTGGCATTATTTATACCACTCCCTTGCATATACCCTCAACTCCATTCCTCCTTTCTTTGATGTATTCACTTGGCAAAAAATCCTTATTAAGTCTGACTGCTTCCTCTGCACCCATTAAGTTGTTTGTGGTTACAGAAACACATGCAACCATGATAACCAATCTCACTTCAAATTCATGAGCATAGGGATCCCTGGGTGGTGCAGCGGTTTGGCGCCTGTCTTTGGCCCAGGGTGCGATCCTGGACACCGGGGATCGAATCCCACGTTGGGCTCCCGGTGCATGCAGCCTGCTTCTCCCTCTGCCTATGTCTCTGCCTCTGTGTGTGTGTGTGTGTGTGTGTGTGTGACTATCATAAATAAATAAAAATTTAAAAAATAAATAAAAATCCAAATTCATGAGCATAAACTCAAGTTAGCCATAATGCTGCCCAGAAGTCTTGCTACCAATGTAGAAATAAGTTTCTCTCCTCTCTATCCCAACTATTGAGAGATCAAAGCTTGTATATTTTTCAGTCTTTTTACACTCAAAAATTGACATGTCAGGACTTTGAGGGGATTGTTTTTACAAAAACATGATCCTCTATACATGTTACTTGGCAAATGAGTTTTTCTTAATGCATCAGGAGCATCTGTATAGATCTTTAGACGGATATAGATTGATTTTGACATAATCATGACATAAATGACATGACATAAATTAGAACAGATATATCATGATTTATGTGATCCCCCTATTGATTCAGTTGATTCCAGTCTTTCTCTACCATGAATAATGCTGCAGTAAATACACCATGTATAGAGCCTTACATAATTGTATTGCTATTTCTAAAGAGTAAAGCTCCTAAAATAAGGTTTGCTGGGTCAGAAGCTACAGTCAGAGGGAGTAGTTTTTATTTTAATAGGAGGTACCAAATGACATTTCCAAAAAAGGCTAGAGCAGGTCACATTCCATGGAGTCTGAAAGTGCCTCTTTCTCATTATCCTCACCAGCATTGGATATTACTGCCTTCATATTCTTTGCTAATCCAAATGAAAAAGTCGTACTCAGTTACTTTAATCTTTACTTCCCGGATATCAAGGGGGCTAACTTGTATTTGTTAGGTGTGTGACTTGCCTAGTAACCAACATCCTTTAGTCATCCTCCTTTTGGGTTATCAGTTTGTACAAAGCCTTTTTTTTTCTAGGTGGTATAGAAACATTTTTTTTCCACAATCTGTTGTCTTCTGAGATTTATGGACTTTTTTTCCATTTCCATAAAATTTCCATAAAATTTTAAATTTTATGTAGCTGTATGTCTGGATTTTCCTTTATAGTATCTGGCTATTCAGCCTTGTTTTAAATTGTATCCCCCCACATCAAAATAATAAAAGTCTCTTTTGTGCTTAAAATCCAGATACTTTTTACACTAAGATTCTAGATGGATCAAAGACATTTTTATGTATATAATGAGACAGGGAACCAGATTTCTTTTTTCTAAATGAATTCTCGGTTATGCTGCCACAAGTTACTTACTGACCCTCTGATTTGCAACAGTTGTCATTCTGTAAGAAATTCATAATCACTTTATCCAATTTGTAAAAGTTGAGTGAAATTAAACATTGGAATTTTGTTTGGGATTAGATTAGAAATAATTTTTTAAGGTTTTTATTTATTCATGAGAGACACAGAAGCAGAGGCAGAGGGAGAAGCAGGTGATTGTGCTGAATTTATGTCTAGTAGACTTTGATTCAATAAAATTATCAGCTTGAAATTCTGTACCCAGCAAAACTATTAAAATGAGGATGAAATGAATGAAATTGTGAATATCACTATAGATCCTACAACCATTAAGAAGATAAAAAGGAAAAAAAATAAAAAGGAATACTACAAATAACTTCACATTTGTAAATGTGAATAAGTGGACCAATTGCCCAAAAATGATAAACTACCAAATTTCAATATGAAATAATCCAAACAGCCATGTATCATTAAAAACATTCAATTGAGGGATCCCTGGGTGGCGCAGCAGTTTAGCGCCTGCCTTTGGCCCAGGGCACGATCCTGGAGACCCAGGATCAAATCCCACGTCGGGCTCCCGGTGCATGGAGCCTGCTTCTCCCTCTGCCTGTGTCTCTGCCTCTCTCTCTCTCTCTCTCACTGTGTGCCTATCATAAATAAATAAAAAAAATAAAATTCAATTGATAATTTTAAAGCTCCTGAAAAATTCAAGCCCATATGGTTTCACTGGAGAATTATACCAAACATTTAAAGAAGGATTAACATTAACACAGTCTCTTCCAGGAAATCTATTCC